CAGGAGGCTGACGGCGCACATGGCCAGCTCATGTACAACCAGGTTCTCCTGGCCGGAAAGCCCTCAATCCCAGGAGCCAGAGACTTTTGGGACCGGTTCTGCCGGACGCGAAACTGGGAATTCATCGTGCGGGCGCGGTGCTCTGAGGCGCTTCAAAGACCGGGCCCTAGTTTGGGGGCCCCTAGACCCTGAGCACCCATACACCCTGGAAAGCACCCTCCTGGAGGCTGAGCTCGCCGGTATCCAGGACCATGTGGTTCAAGAAAGCCAGCTTCACAAGGCCTGGCCGCTTTGAGGCTTAAGACTTGCTCTTGTGGCCCAAAGTTCAGGCTGCCACGGACAAGACGCAAAGTACCCTCCTGCAAGGTGCTTAACGCGTGGTAGCAAGAACATAAGCCAAAACAGAGGAAGGATGGAACAGCTGTGAAAAACAGCTGCCACGAACTCTTCAAAAGCACCACGGTGCCCTAATTCCTGACCCTGAGACCACCAAGCGGCAGTGCTTGTACCTGGCGAATTGCAGCTCAGCGTGCAGCGGCTTCGAGAGCAAGTCCAGGATAGCCGGCCTCTCTTGGCGGGTTTAAGGCTTCGACTCGTCGACTCTCAAAACTGGCGCACGCAGTCAAAGAGTTTAGGGTTCAGGGCAGGTGTGTTTAGCTTCCGATGGCGTGAAACAATCGAAGGTGGATCGCCGTCGCCCAGCTGAGACGATCGAATTCCGAATTACAACAAGCAATAATGAGTAAGTGACAAGAAGTGATAACAACAGTAAGTAACACCAGGTAATAACACCAACAGTAGTGCGCAGTAACACTTGGTAATTGGAAGATATGTGTAATAAGTAGTCACGTATTATAAAAAACTGCAGTACTGAGTGAGAGCAAGCAATGACAAATAATAACGAAGGATAATCGGTGATAACGAGCCGTTCACAGCAATGGTGATAACAATTGAAATGCCGATTGTGTCGTTATGACATTGGCTAGACTCCTAAAACTTCTAGTAGTACAAACCAGTAAACAACACTACTAATCGAATTGAAAGCAAGATGAAAAATAGCAATAACAGCCATGGCTGCAATGAGAGCAATAATAGCAATAGTAGCAAGAATGATATCAAGAGGAAAATAGAGGACAGCAATAACAATAACAGCAATAATAGCAATACTGGGCATAAGCAAGAGTAATTGGAACCGCAATCGGAACCAAAATACTTGAAATACACGGAATATCGCAATAGCAGCGATATCCGTAAAAACTGTAATTATGGCAATGATAGCCGTTGTTGTTGTAACGGAAACCACGGCAATAATAGTAAATTAGGGCCTTAGGGTCTCAGGGTATCTCAGGCTTGCTTTTTTGGCCTCCCATCGCGCTGAAGGAAAGTTCGCTCGCAGGCCCCGGTTCAGAAGTCCAAGACAACTACCCACATATGAAGTAGGGTTTATATTTCTTGTATCCCCACTCACCAATAACAGTAATTATATACCCTGCTTCATATCAACTAAGGGTTTAGGAAGTTTAGGGCTTTAGAGTCTACAGGGCAGTGGTGGCACTCCACGGCGGTGAAGCCTTCCTCATGTCTTCGGGGGGGATTCGTTGGGCTCCTTTACCCCCCAACCTTCAACCACTAAACCCTGCTTGCCTGTTTGTGGCATGCATCTCGGAGTCTTGGTAGGCGTGGCGCAGGAAGCGTGTGATACGCTCGGCCAGGGCGGGTGGAACATCAGACTGGCGAAAAAACCGCCGTAGCTTGCTGAACTGCTCCATCTCCTGCGCAATGCTCAGTGAAGTTAGCTTCCAGCCGAGAGGCACCTAGAGACTATCTAGAGCAAGCAGACCGGGATCTGGCCCCCCCCCCCCCCCCGCCCCTCACCCTCTGCAAACCGCTTGGAGAAGCCGAAATGGAGGCCACGAGGGTTCACGCTGTGAGCCCCTCCCACAGAGACTCCTACGTACCCCCTAACACCCCCTGCCGTGACATCCAACCTTCTGGCACCCGCTCTGGGGGCCCCTCCTGGGACGTGCGCACCCTACACCCCGCATTGGGCCTGCCGCGGGGCGTGCAAGTGTTTACAACTGTGGAAGGTTTAGAATTTTCGGTTGTGGGGCGGAGTTCGGGAACCCTCAACCCTGAACCCTAAACCCTAAGCTCCAAACATCTCCAAACCAAGCCCTACCGACCTGACCCCTCTGGCTGTTCAACGTGGTGACCAGGGACGTCATGGCGCTGACAACTGTGGAGAAGCTGATCCTCAGTAATTCTCAAGCTCCGTCTTGACATCAACAGGAACCATCCGACACAGAAACGAACCCCGAAACCCTGAACCCTGCACACGCACTGGTCTGGGCGTGAGGGCTGAACGGCTCTTTCAAAAAACGAGGCGCAGGGAGACGAATCCTATTACGATGGTGTAGACGCCCTCGATCTCGTTGGTGGCTTCAACCCTCGGTTCGCATTCTTTGTAGTGAGGAGTTTAGGGTTCAGGGCTGCGGTGGAGACCTTGTGCGGGATGAAGGATTACGGTCTTTTTGATAAGGTTGGACGGAAGGCTTTTGCCACTCAACCTGGCTGACACGCTCAAAGGAAACGCTTGAAACTTCATTGCATGGGCGGGCGGAGGGTCTATGGTTTTGGGATGTTCTGTCCCTGAATCGTGAACATTTAACCACAGACAAACCAACCGGAACAAGGTGCTCAAACATTATCAGCCCCCTTTTTGCAACATTGCCACTTCGCCCGGAGTTGGTGCCACTCGACACAAGCAGCTTCAGTGCTAGCCAACATCAGCCCACTAAACCTTAAACACCCAAGCCTAAACCCAAGAGCAACAAGTACCCACATCACCTGGATTCCTCGTACTCATGGCGACACCTGCGACCCTGCAATCTGGGCTTAGGACCTCAGCCCAAAACAACCTTACGCCATAAACCCGAAGGAAGCACTAAGCTCTTACAGCCCAAGCAAAAAGGGACCCTAAACCCTAAACCCTAAACCCCTAAACCCTGAGCCCCAAACCCTGAACCCTAAACGCTAAACCCAGACAGACACCAGGGGTCTCCGTGCCGCCGACGCCGATCTGTGCCAGTGCCCAAGCCCTGGGCCCCATATGCTTTTCAGGGGCTCAGGGCTTCGGGCCTTTTCGGGCTTGGGGCTTAGGATAATAAGGCTTCGGGTAATAGGGTTTGGGTTTAGCGTTAGGGCTTAGGGTTTAGGGTTTAGGGTTTAGGGTTTGGGGTTTAGTGTTTAGGGTTTAGGGTTTAGGGTTTAGGGTGTAGGGTGTAGGGTGTAGGGTTTAGGGTTTGGGGTTTAGGGTTTAGGGTTTAGGGTTGAGGGTTTAGGGTTTAGGGTTTAGGGTTGGCCCTCACCTGGTGTGACAAGGTGAAGAGTTCTACACCTACTGAAAGCCCCTAAATAACCTTGCATGGGCAGCAGGGGAAGTTTGCGTGTCAAAAGCTTGGGCCTTAATCGTGATAATTGTTCAGGCTCCTGTGCCAGGGCTTGGGATTTAAGCCCCGAAACCCGCTGGACATCCTCTCTACGCTCAACACCAAGGACCTATGCCAATCCTCCCTTTAACAAACCCGCGCAGACATGCCAGTCGCGAATCTCCACCTGGCAAACCTGAAAGGCCTTAACCATCCCAAATGGAATGTCTCCTACAATACGGCTACCCTTCGGGGATACCCCCCAGTTGGGAGATGGTCCAATCCCAACCCCTTGACCCGCAGACCAAAGCAAAGATCCCCAAGCCTCGAATTGGGTCTTTTGGTATAGCAAGCGAGACGAACCACGCCGCAAGACTTCAGGGAATTGGGTTTAGGTCTTGTCTTTGCAAAAACCCTCTGGTTAAGGGTTTTGTCACCCGCCTCGCCACCCTCTGCGGGGTAGCATTTCAGGGAGTTGCATGCACGGCTTGCCAAATAGTAGGACATGATCGGACATCTTGGAGACTGGCTTTTGAGGTCAGATTCCAGAGTTTAGGTTTAGGGTTTGAGGTTTAGGGGGTTTAGGCTTGAAGGTAAAGGGTCTACTGGCCAAGCGTCATGCTGGCAGTGTAGTGGAAAAGCAGTGGTCGCTCCAGTACACCCGACTTCCATAGCCAGCTTTCCGGGACGTCCACTGCCTGGGCAGGCTTTCGGGTGCGAGTGTTAGCTGGGCTTTCTTTACGATTTCTCTTTCGGCCTTTAAAGTGCTTTGGGGCAGAGGGGTGTTCCATGTTCGCGTTGGGTGGCGTTCTGCTAAGAGGCACCGAAGAGCGCGAAAGCTTTGCTGAAGAGGGGACCTAGGCGCTATGCCATACCACACGCAGGCGATCAAGTGCTCGAGCAAGAACCTTGTCAGCATCCTAAAGCTGAACGTTCCCAGATATCTGCTGCAGAGCGCTGGCTGCACTTGGTGGTTTGCCGGCCTCACATGGCTTCGTGCCTTTCGTATTGAAGCCAAGAGCACCACAACCATCCGCCACTCAAGAGCACTAAATCTCATATCTCAGACCTTCAGCATGGCCCCGTCCTTCATTTAGGTCAGGGCCCCTTTCAGGGTCCTACTTCAACTACCCAAGCTTGGCGTCTTCCTTGTAGAGCGCCGGCCACCTTGCAAACCGAAAACCCCAAAATCCCACAAAAGCCACCTCCCACCACCAGAGCCCTGCAGTCCCGGAGCATGCAGAGCACCACCAGGACCAGGTTGAATTGGACGGAGGCCACCTGCGGCGGTGCTCCGTTCTCGTGGGAGGTTTGCTGTCTGGACACTCTCTCCCTACGAAATCCACAGGCGCGCAACAAAGTTCACAGGCCAGCTCCAAGACCTGGAGATATGATCTGTCCCTGCTCTCGGAAGAAACTGCGGGCTTTGCTTTATCAACTTAATCATCCATCGTCAAGTCCCCCACACCCTTAGGCACAACTGCCCAAGCCCCCCCCCCCACCTGTGAGTCGAACTTATCCTGGAGAAAGGTAGCTACCTTGCCAAGGGAGGTTTCGGCAGCGCAAGTTTGTTCAAGCTTCATGGCCTTGGGCTCTATGGGGCGCCCCCAAAACAGTTTCGCCAGCTCGTACCTGCGAGATCTTGCCAAGTCGGGCAATGCGAATCAATCGAAGGGCCCGGAGGAAACGAGAGGCTCTGCCAGTGGAGGTGCTGACGCCGAGCTCCAGGACGACGTCTGTGACTGCAATCGGTGCATCAATAAAAAACCAGCCTTTAAGATAGTGGCAAACAATGCGCCGATGGTCCAGAACAAGGACACCCCTGTCGAGGTAGCCAGTAAAGAAGGAAAGCACGATGTCTGCACACCAGTAGCCCGTAGAAAACTTGACCAGCCAATCAAACATGTCATAGAAGTGGTCCCCGAACAGCTGCAGCGGAATGATGATCACATCCTGCACACTCTTTCTTCGCCCCCGGAAGCGGCCTAACCAGCCCCCCTACAAAAACCCTCCCTCACCGCAGCTGAACGGCCCTCTCAACGTCCTTCACCAGCAAGGCCATGCCAACGAAGTCCCAGAAGTTTCGGAAGTTGCCCGTGGGATTCAGGACCCATCCCATCTCCGCAGCCGGGGGTGCCAAGAGAAGCCTCCAGGTCCGAACGGAAGCGGTCTTTTGAGGCTATTGGGGGCTTCTTCGGGTTCAGGATGTTCAGGGTTTCCGGCTCTCACGGACTAGCGCGCGTGCAGGCAGGCGTGGGCAAGGCTCCAGATGTCTCGCGGTAACAAAGACCGCGCATCGGCCGTCTGACGGACACCGGCATTCATCTAGCCAAGCCCACACAATCCCGACTCGGCCTGATCCTGACCTTCAAGCTATCTGACTAATCCGACGAACCCACAGTGGAAGCTTGATGCGTGGATGATCTCTACCTAGGATTGGACCCATCTCCACAGCAGCAGACTAATCAACAGTATACACCCATCACATTCGAACCAGAATGTTTTGAGTTCGTGCAGAAAAATCCAGTCTTCCTAAATAAGGGCCTTCCCTCGCCCCCTTGGCGTGAAGAAAGAGCCCCCCCGGAGCTGTACAAAACTTCAATGTCCTGCCCTCTGTGTGGGCGCGGCCCATGTGGCCTTGCTTTGTCTGTGCGATATGAGCAGCAGGAGAGAGACTTCCGAATTCAAGATGCTGTGCTATATTGATGTCGTACTCGCAGACGGACCTCAGCTCGCCTTCACGTCCGGCTTCATGCATTTCCGGGTCGCTAGGGTCATCGCCAGAGTCACGGAGAAGAGGCCAAGCAAGACCGGGGCAAAGGAGTCTGCACTCAAGACTGAGCAGATAATGGAGCCGCCTCCCCGGCCAATGGACATGAAAATCGTGGCCGTGGTCATGATGGTGTTGATGGACTCGGCGGGCACGATCTTGGAGCAGATGCTTAAGGCCAGAGCCCTGGCGAAGCTCTGAGTGACGAGCACCAACACCAAGCCGACTGTCAGCAGCGACACGCGCACAGTGGGCGAGTCCACGTCGAAGTTGAACAAGAACAGGCAGCCCACGCAGGCTAATGCTTCGCCCGCCAGCAATCCCACCACATCACTGCAAGACATGCAGTGGATAATCTTGCCAAGGCTCAGGTTCACCACCCCGGAGACCAACATGATCAGCGCCACGTACCAGGCCGCGCTGGCAATCGACCAGCCCATGCCTTCCCGGGCCACGTTGATGGTGTAGACCTCCACGCCCGTTGTCACGGTACTGGCCACGAAGAGCTGCCAGAAGCAGGCGCAAGCCGCCGCCATCTTCTGCAAACTCATCGGTGGCGTCTTGGGGCTGCGGGGGCTCCTTAAGGTTCGACCTTCCACCTCCGGCGTGGCAACAATGGAATCCCTGGGGAGGTCTTGGAAGAACAGCACCAGCTTCCCGGCGAAGAAGAGGTACAGAACGGCCATGAACCATCCCGGAATGGTGTCTGAATCAAGGACCAGGTTGTTGATTTTGATGAACTTCATCGACGCCTCCAACATGGCCGCCAGGGCCGGCCCGATGGCGCAGCCCAGGGTTAAAAAGGCAGAGAAGTAGAAGAGGACCTCACTGCGCCTCTCCATGCCCACCGTGCGGCTCACATAGATGCTCGGCAAGCTGAAGGCGCTGAAGAAGCCCATGATCCCGCGGGCAATGAGGAGCGTCCACTTGAATCTCATCAACCCGGCCAGCGCATAGAGCACGCAGCCCAGTACATTGAAGAGCACGCACAGGATCCAGATGTGCTTGAAGGGCAAGAAGCTGAGGAGCTTCTGGTTGAACAAATTGCCAGCGATGCCCACGATTGGCATGATGCCGATCATCAACCCGGCAAAGAGCCGTCCGGCGCCCAATCTTTCTGCATACTCGTTCGCCGTAGGGATGGTGATGACCAAGTTGACCGTGACCAAAACCAGGAAGTAGTGGAGCAAGGCCAGTGAAGCAAAGGGAGGCATCCGTGCCTTGTCCTCTTTAAGCTCGGTCAGCGAGCTGAGAGAGACGTCCTTCCCAACGCTGGGAGCGGAACCGGAGTCTGAGCAAGCCTCAGCCTCCTTGGTCTCTCTCATGGTCTCTGTCATGGTGGCTGTCATGGTCGCCATGGCAAAGTTGGGTCGAAAAAGCGTCGAAGAGTGAGAATTTCGTCTGGCTACCAGGCACGAATGGCTCGAGCAAGACTTGGGTTCAGGTTTTGGGGTTTCGACTCTCACGCTAGCGGAACGCGGGCGAGGACTTTTTTCGGGTCTCGGGTTGAGGGTTTAGAGCGCAGGGTCGAGGTCCAGGGTCCAGGATTTAGGGGCAGAGGTTGCAAGAGAGAGATTCAGCTAGACGACAAGTTCAAAGAATTTGGGGGGGGGGGGGGCTCTTCCTATGTATGAATGCACAAAGCAGTGCCAAACACAAAGCCCAAAAAGCGAGACCTCCTCAGCCCGGCAGAAACGTTGCATTCTCCTACCAGTACAGGCCGCCGAGGACCTAGAAAATGAACTTCAGGCAAAAGAGTTTTAGAAGTCGAGATACGCAAAAACTCTCAGCAAACCCCCGCAAACCTTCCAAGACCCGACACAAAACCTCTTTCAAATTCTCAAATCCGCCGAGGCCTCGGGCCGAAGGTGTCTGGGTAGCACAAACCAGGCACCCCACCTAATAACATCTTTTTTGCATTTTCGCACTTTTGCACTTTTGGACTCGCCGACAAGTGTCCGGGAGCAGACGGTGCATCAGGACCAGGGGGTCCTAACAACCACTCCCCCCCACCCCAACCCCCCCCCCCCCCCCCCCCCCCCCCCCCCCCCCACAACTCCACCTTCTCCGGCTTGGGTTGCCTCGTTACGGAAACTCAAGGTTCGCGTAGCGTTAAAGTTAACGTGCCCCCAACGACCCTCCGTAGTCCACCCTTGTTGCGGACCTCGCCGTGCAAACCCGGAAAACTCTTCAAAACCGTCCCTCTTTCAAACAAAAAAATTCCAAAGGCCCAAGCCTCTGCACATCCCCACACCTGTGCATCCCCAAAACAGCTGTTTCTCTAAACGCCTGTGGGGGGACGTCCTAATTCTACGGCCGGCCCTCAACCCTTGAAACCCATCAACAGGGCGTGGCCTCAGTGTCCATGAGCTGGTGCTACCGCGTGGGCTCTTCTCCTCGGACACCTGCCGAATCAGAAGGGTTTCAGGGTTCTTGGATCTGGTGTTCAGGTTGCATGCTAAGCCCTGAACTCCAAAATAAACCCGAACTTCGAAAGCCCGACACTCTAAACCCAAAACAAGCCCTTGAACTCAACCACCCAGACGGCCCCAGGAATGAGGCGCCTGCCCTCCCCGTGAGTCCCAGCAGGCCCTTGGCTCGAAGCCGCTGAAGCTCTGGGCCCTCTTCCTGGGCTCAAGGCTTAGGGCTAAGAACATCGGGTTTCGGGTTCAGGGTTTAGGGTTTCATAGAAATCGATTTGGGCTTTAAGGCTTCGGGTCTATAAGGCTTGGGATCCAAGCTCAGAGTGGTTTCGACGGAGGCAACTTCCAGCGCTTGCATGGGTGAGAGTCTTGTTTGTAGGGATCCGGGGCCAAAATTCTTAAGCACGCTCTGGGGGGGGCCAGTCTTGAACAAGCACTTATGGAAAAAACAGAAACAGCCTTGCCAATGCGATCCAGCCTCTGGGCTGCTTCGACCTACGGAGTCACCATCCAACCCTAAACCCTAAAGCGGCAAACCCTGAACCCTAGGCTCTAAACCCTAAGGCAAAAAACCCTAAACCCAGCACCCCAAACCTTTTCAGAGGCCCGGAGAAGAGGAGTGCCCGTTAGTCTCCCCTCTGATTTGGGGACCCCCCAAGCAACCCGCAACCCTACACTGGAGTTCGAACTTCCCGGGGCCTCTCGCTTGAAGCCTCTGACCCCGAACTCCGTCTAGACGAACCCTCGCTTTCCGGAGGTTTAGGGTGTAGGGATTCGGGCTTAGGGTTTTTTTTTTGCCACCCGCCGAGAAGACACGGCCCACTGCAGGGCAACATTCCGGGATGATTGACTGAGTTCATCTCGTCTGTGCTCCTCACTTCGTGCCGAAGCAACACGTTCCACCCTGCCCATCAGTTCAGACGGTGGGATACTTCAATGCAGAGCTCGGCGACTACTCTCATGGTCACATAGACCTAATTGCGGACACGCAAATGCGCGAATCGTGGCTCAACACATAAATGCGGGACGTGAATTCTACACGACCGCTTGTGTCGACGAGCTTGTCGTAACCAACTCGACATGTGCGATCCTGGGATTCTAGCCCCTCGCCAGGCTCAGCGAAAAGCAGGCCGATGACCAATCCAAGTACTTCTCTGGCCGTCGCACTCCAAACCTTATGTAAACCCTTCACCCTAAAGGGCTGGGAACAGAACCCAGGAATTCGCCTCATTGTTGGGGGGCATCCCACCTTCTCACGGCCCAGGCTAGGCAGCGACTCGGCTTTCTCCGAAACGGCCGCGAAGGAGTCCGTCAGGGCAGGGCCCGGCAAAGGACGAAAGCTGACGTCGCGATCCTCTCTGGGCAGGGGACACTCGCGAAGTGCCCCGCACCTTCAAGGACCTCCTTGAAACCTCAACAGACATCAAAAGGCCGTAAACATCCCTGGTCCTGCGGCGCAACTACTTTTTTGTTCCGACAGAACCCCAACTTACAACCACAAACCCAGGCAATCCTCTTTCATGGAGCCCACGGGCGAATCGGCCGGGAGGCTCGCTGCCTCACAGGGTCTCTAAAGGCGAGCCGGAGGAAATGGGGACGCTGATTGGACACGTCTAAGGAGGGCTGTAGAAGCTTCGTGGCCTCAGCGGATCCAAGAGAGATGGGTCCCTAAATGTTCCTAGTCCCTCAACAATAGGAGATGCAAGAAATGTAGGAACCCCAAACCAACCGGAACCCCCCCATCGTTTCCGATCCTCCTCATCCTGGAAGCTGGCAGTGGACGATTTGGCCACGATCTGGCCTCCACAGGTTGAGCATATTTTAGCATGAAGGCTTCAGGGAAGCAGAGCTCTGAGAGCCGAGAGCCCTGAAGCAAAAAAAACACTGGTACAGGGCAGGTCAGTCCTGCCTGAAACCGGGACCTCCGGTACTTCGGGCACGTCACAGAGGCCAGAAGTACGCGTGGAGTGTGCTCCCTGGGCATAGTACCTTGCGATGTCCAGCTTGTAGCACTCGCCCAACGTCCGGTGCAGCTCCCAGAAGGACGTGCTTCCAAACCCCATTTCTGGGGGATCTCCAGGTGGCTGGGGGGGCTGCATGCCTCCTCTACGGTACCAGCACTACAAGTCGACAAGGCTTGTAAACCAAACGGCTCGCTCGACAAGTTGCAGACCCTCGCTCCCCAAAACTTTCGAAGCCCGAAAAGACCAGCAAGGCACCCATACAACCGCCATGATGAGCATCTTTAAATCATAGCCGGCATGCAATGCAGAGCAGCATCAGACCATGCCACTGATGAACTTGCAAAGGCACAGAACAAATCAAGCCTGCAGGCACGCGGTACGAGTGGATTACTTATGCTTCAGAGACGTTCGTTATGACATGTCGTTGGCGAGATTGTCATACGAGACAATGTGCTCTCAGGATATGGGCGCGTTGGAATCCACAAGGTCCAGCCCACACTTCTGAACAGCGCATCTACATGCAAAACCCCACATCCTACAGCTTAGAGTTTGGGGTTTGCTGTTTTTGAAAGGGCGCGCATCAGTCCAGCACGTGCTTTATTGGTGAGACGCAACCGAAGCCGAAGCACTGCTCAACTTGTCGTCTGCTTTGCCGGCTGTTGTCATAATGGCGAGGAACCCTTTTGCAATTAACCTTGAAGCCATGAGGCCCTGAAGCCCCACACCATATTGGCAGTTCTCTACATTACCACGAATCCGTGTAAAAGGGGACCCGAACGCGACCCTCCTGTGATCTTCAACCCGGTTTGCTACTAGTACCTACTGCGATTCTTCTCAGCACGGACGTCGTAGAAACCGAGTTCCTGGCAATGAGAGGACAGACTTGAGGTTCAACAACGAGTTTAGGGTTTACGTATGGGGGTTTTGAGGTTCAGGGTTTCGGGTTGTCTGGCTTCCGGTTTTCTGTGACTCCGGGTCTCACGAATGCTACCTGGGGCTTCTTAATAGGGATTCTAATAGGGATTCTAATAGGGGTACTAGACTCCCTATTAAGGACTGTTTTTACAAAGGTGAACATCCCAAGTTTCTACTCTGCTTATTCCCCACACTCCCAAGCCTTTGCGTCTCTCATGTCGAGTTGCAGACTGCAAAGGTGGGGCGTCCTCGGAGGCGCGGAAAAACGGGAGCAGCTCCGTTGTCACTCCCTGCACAGCCCGTCAGGGTGTAGGGGCCTAACGATCCCAGCGCCGCCTGCAGGCACGTAAGCCCCTAAACCCTATCCCCAATCCCCCAAAACCTAAACCCTGAACCCGGAAAAAAATATGGCCTAAGCCCTCGTACAAACCCCTCCTTATTTTTGCATCTGGACTGAGGGCCGAATAAAGAAAGCTGTTCAACCGACTCCCGGCACTCACGGCTTCGAGGTTTGGGGGGGTTGCAGCCACCTAGCAGCCTCGCAACCACACTGCAGGGGTCTAGAGTTTAGGGCTTGGGGGTTGGGGTTTAAGGTTGTAGGGTTTAGGGTTTCAGGGTTCTTCACAACCTCCACTAAGACAACGATTGACACGCAAGGCGTGCCAAAGATGTAGATTCTCCTCCACGCGCACATCCGAGACCATCACCCTAAACTCCCCTAAACCCTAGACCCCTATAAGCTGCCACAATCCCCAAAGCCTTCATTAGGGCTCCAAGCCCTACAGCCCAAACCCTCACGTGGGGAGCCCACCTTAGCCATCTTGGCCTGCTGCGATGGGCAGGTTGGCCTCCCCAACACAAGTGGTGCCAAGCCACAGCAGAAGTTGTTCTGGTCTAGGGCTTCGGGGAGTTTAGGGATATGGTCCCGTTCTTTAAAGGGTCGCTCCCGCATAGCTGGATGATCTAGGGTTTTGCTTTATCCTTCAGGGGGCCATGATGCTGAGAGCTTGGGAGTCAAGCAGGGCTGAAGGTTTAGGGTTTCCAGAGTTTGGGCTAAGGCTACGGCTGTTGACTTCGAAAGAGGGCTACCCTTTTCCCCACTGGCTCAAGTCTATGCAGGTCCAGATTACAACTAAAACAGCATCGCTTAACATATTGCAATTAGGACATTCCCCCTTATACTAACAGTCCTCAATAGGGATTATACTACCCCTACTGGAATCCCACTCAGGACTGTTAGCACCTTTGGGAACATGCCCCTGCTGCAACCCGCAATAGTAAACCCCCCAAACCCCTAAACCCTGAACCCTGAACCCTAAATTTTGGGTCGGCCTTTGCGGCTCCTTCGCCCTGGGCTTTTGAGCTGATCGCCACGGCGTTGTAGGCCTTGTTGCTGAAGTCCTGCGGAAACCCTCTAGGCCTAATGTATGTGTGCGCGTGTGTATGTGTATGTATATGTATATGTACATGTAGATGTATATGTATATGTATATGTACATGTATATGTATATGTGTATGTGTGTATATGTATATGTATATGTTTATGTGTTGTAGCTTTGACAAGCGAGTGTTACAATGTCACTTGCTGTGTTGAATGTTTGCCTGCGCCCCAGAGGGGCTGCCTATCGGCTTGCAGGTCTCACTCACTCACTCACTTTATGTATGTGTATGTGTGTGTATATGTACATGTACATGTACATGTACATGTACATGTAAATGTGTATATATGTATATGTATATGTAATACATACATACATATATATATATGTATATATATATATATATACCTGTGTGTCTGGGTGTCTGTGTGTCTGTGTGTCTCTCTCTCTCTCTCTGTGTCTCTGTGTGTGTCTGTGTGTATATATATATATATGTAAGCGAGAAAAACAGAAAGACAGAGAGCCAGAGAGATAGAGGGAGAGGGAGAGGGGGAGGGAGAGGGAGAGGGAGAGGGAGAGGGAGAGGGAGAGGGAGAGGGAGAGGGAGAGGGAGAGGGAGAGGGAGAGGGAGAGGGAGAGGGATTCCTGTTTGGGTATACTCTCGCCTCATCCGACTTCTTCAAGATTGGGTGGTGTGGGGTTCGGGTTTAGGGAAGTAGGTGCCTTGCAACCCTGAGATGCCCACAATTAGAATCATAAGGGATGATACAGGGTACCGAATCTCATTCCCTTCTTCCCTTCTAAGTCTCCCTAACCAGCTGAAGCCCTCAACACAAGACGCTGTGCACTCCGTGGGATACGGGGCCGAGGGTTTCGCCTTTCACTCTCCCGAGGATTGCGAAGTTCGGAGTTGGCAGTCTAAACCCTAAACCCTAAACCCCAAACCCTAAACCCTAAACCCTAAGCCTAAACCCTAAAGCGCCCCGACAATCCTGGAGCCTCTGGGTGAAGTCAGGCCGGGAGGCATCGGCATCGCCTGGGGCAATCGGGTTTCAGGGCGAGAGCCCGAATGCAGATGTCGTCCGTCTTGCTTGGACTTGGGGTCATATACCCTATATTGCCAAAAATACGATTAAGGTACATGCAGCATAAATCCCATAAACCTTTTCAAGCAGAACTTGCCCACTTGAGGGCGCGCAGTACACAGTAGGCGAGTACAGAGCAGGAGGGTACACAGTAGGAGGGTACAACCGGAGCATAAAACATGAGACGCGACACACAAACACACGAAAACTCGACACGAGGTCGTGACGGCTACGCGGAACACCGTAAACTTTCGATCCAATGGCCAAAGGCGAGAACAGTTGCGAGGACCACGACCGACATCCCCAAGACCGATGGCGCTTTGGCCACACGAAAAGGCTCCGAGCGTCCCATGTGACGAGGATTGCTTCCGCAAGATGAGGCAGCATGGGCCGAGAACCTAGAACCCGCCACTACTTGGAAAAGCGAGGGTGCTCGGGAGGTCTTCGGCGCTTGCATTAAGGCTTTGGCCCCCTAGGCTCTTTCTGGGGACACGGGAGCCACCAACTTCAAAACGTGAGGCAGATGTGTGCCGCTGCTGCCCCGGGCCTAATGCGGCGTCTGACAGCTTGTCGTTTATGTGGTGCTTCATGAGGTCCTTCGCAAGGCTTCTCAAGAGCTCGTGGGCTGTAAGACCAGAGGGCTGGACTGGTTGCCGATCAAAGGCACTGCGGCATGGGGCCTGATCCACACTATCTGTGCATGCAGGGGTTGGAGATTCGGGCTTTCGGGGGCGTGCCCAAGCGCTCCAGCGTCTCATGCAGCATGTTGGCAAACTCCCCGGACATCTCATTCATCCGCTCATTCAGGTGCCTGAGGAAGGAGTTTTGTCAACCACGCGAAGGGCATTGGGCTTTGTGGTTGCGCACGCTGTTGGACATCAAGCTCCGGGATTCTGCAGGAGGATGCAAACCCCGTGCAGGACCCGCGGAGTGGTGTTTAGGGCTTGGGGGCTTAGGGTTTGTTGTAACCCTCAGCCGAGCTGGCGACTTGATCTGCTGGTCCTTGTTGTCGATTTCATCATCCTGGCTTGGACGGGCATGGGCTTCCAAAGGGAGCAGCTCTACTACTCGATCCCCTTCGGCACGCAGCGTGCAAGTTTAGGAAATCCTCTACAGAAGCACAGCGTCGTTTTCCGGATCCTCTCGGGATGATGGCACAGAGTCCCAACGGCTGCGGGGTGCGCAAAAAGCAGGTCGCACACGTCGAATGACCGTCTTCCGGACATCTAAAATAGGTCCCCTACAGTTTAAGGGGGTGAGCGCAGCCCCTATCTTTCCATGCTGTGTGGCCTGTCGGCAGCACTCCCGGTGGGGCTGAGGTCTTAAGGACCAGATGAACCCTAAAGACTGGTGGCTGTAGAGACCTTCAGGTCCCTAAAGTGAGTGTTGCTCGTGGGGGAAGGCGCTTCGAAAAGGGATCCCCTTGATACATCTCTTTTGTGAGACAAACAAAGGGACCCTCGCCGAGAACCGCCCCCAGTCGCTTTGGCAGTCTCCAAAATTGAAAACTTGAAACCTTTAGCTTTGGCTCACCTCCTGGCATGAGGGTCTCGGGTCTAGGCCTAGCTGGCGAACACACATCTGCAAGCGGGCAAGATATCATATATCTAGAGAGATATATGCATATGCATATGTATAAATATATATATATATATATATATTATTGATCATATATTATAAGCCTAAGTGGCTGCATTCCCTCTGCCTTCAGAACCGATGCTTGGATTGTGGATCTATCTACGGCTTCCCGTTGACCTTATAAGCAGGGGCCCTTTTGGGCCCAATCAGCAAATCACGTGTGTTCCACGCGTGTTCAACCTCTCTGAATCGACGTGACGTGCAGAGTGCTGGGTCCCAGTACCTTGTGCCTAAACTCTACTAGGGTTCAGGGCTTTCTGTTCGACCCCCTGTAGTTTTCAGAGCAGTGCGCCCTAAAGCTTATCAGGCCGTGGATCACTCCAGCAACGTCACGACCGCTTTTGCGGAGCAGTAACTCCGAATGACCCTCTCGAATTTCCAGGAAGGGTGGTGCATGCTTTCATCGCAGAGCGTCCTGAGGACGTCATCCGGGGTGATCTTGGCGGCTTCTTTCCAGCTCTCACCACACAAACGCTGATACCCTTGGTGAGATAGTTCGTCCTGAACCCCGGCCATTTTCATGAGCGAGTCCCATGCCTTCTGGTCTACGTATGGCATCTTGCATGTCGTCACCCATGCTTCCAGCTTGTCGTGCGTCTCGGCAAATGGTGCAAGGAGCAAGGTATCCATGATCTCCATCTGGAAGAAGACGACCCACAAGGACTCTGCCTTGTCATCGAAGACCTGCGGGCCAAGGATGTCTCGAAAAGTTATCGTGGCAGCGTACTGGAACGTGAGCATATGCCGAGGAAAAATGCCACGGTCCCAGTGGATGGATACGACCTGCCGAAGTCTGCGTCGAGCACTGAGCACGTCTTCATTGAGCAGCTTGTCGGCCGTATCTTCCAGGAAGGATGCAAGCATCGACATGTGGCTTAGCTCGTGCTCCGAATCCCTGAAGATTGTCTCCGTCCAGTTGTGGTGACCCGCCGGCACTTTGTTCAAGTTGGCAGCTAGGCTGGGGATGAACCTCTCGTCGGCCGAGGCCTTCTGCAGGAGACTGCGCACAGTCGAAGCAACGGTCTTGCGGCTTGTGTCCTCCGCACAAAGGCGCCCTTGTGTGAAGGGAGCCGCAACGAAGCGAAGCCATACCACAGACCAGGCCATCTCTGCCCGTTCAGACAAGCCATAGAGGTCCTCAAGGGCCCGGAGCAAAGCCAACTGAAACAGGCACAGGTAACACGGATGCACTCCATAGCCGATATGCCGCATACCCAAGGACGTAATGTCCCTCTCGATAACTCGAAAGTTCTTCTCCTGAAGCCAGGTTAAGACAACTTGAACAAAGGCTGCGAAGAGCAAAGCTTGAACTCTGACATTCACCGTTTTGAAGAGGCTCTGCACGTTTCCTTCAAGCATCAAGTAGATGTAAATCTTCGTGCCGAGCTCGTCCAGCTTGATTTGGCGCCACTGGGCTAAAATCAATCCCATCATGCTTTCCAGTGACTCAAAGCCGGTGTTGCTTGCAAATGCATTCTGGCAGAGTCTGGTCAAGAGAGACTCATGCGAAGCACCTGGGCACTCCAAGAACACCTCCTTCATGCAATGCCGAAAATCTCGGCGAGTGACGATTCCAGTGTTATGCAGATCCAGAGCATTGAAGCCAGCAAGAATGTGGCTGTCTGAAACACCCATCTCCAGCAGTATCTCGTGAAAGTCTGAATACAGTATGAAAGCAGGATCCGTCCGAGCCAGTTTGGCAAAGGACGCATCCACCTCGTCCAGGCAGTACATCAGAGGACACCGCAGGAACATGAAGTGATTGGGATTCAGGATAACGCTTCCAGCTGCCTTAAACAAGAGAATCGCCATGGTGCTGTATGCACCAATGAACTGACTCTTCGGCGACATGGACGCAAAAAACAGAAAGTCGAGGTTTGCATGTGGGTCCCAGTTGGGAAGCTGCTCCATGAAAAGAGCTGCTGTGGCCAGGACGCAACTGTACACGAGACATGCTGCCACGAACATCTTCTGGACACTCTTGGGCAGATCTGCCGCCTCAACTATGACTATCAGAACCGACAGCTCCAGCATATTGAACAAATCGAAGACGTCCTCCATGCGATGCGCAACGTCATGATGAAGGGACATTCTGGATAGCGCTAGGGCACCCCACCCACGCAGCGCACAAGCTATCACGGCCCATGGGTCAAAGGTCCGCAAGGTCATCCACAACAATTGGCTATGCACGCGTGTCAACACCACCAGAATTGCGAGCCCCCAGCAAACTGTCGTGGCGGCGTGCATACACCAAGAAGCAGCTGTCGGAGTAGACACCTTCACAAGAAAGCTTGAAACCTGTGCCTCTGCCGTGCTGGAAAGGAAGCCGAAAAAGGTTCCTGTGTGTAGAAGCAAACCCACAGTGATCAACATAACGAGCGGCCAGCGCCTCTGAAGTAGCCAGCGCCCCACCGTAAAGCTCAGCATCATCTGCCCAGATAAGATGTAGGCGTGCTCTACCGGCCTGATGATCATGATGTGCCCTCTCTTCCTGTCATTGTTGCTGCCTTCCCACGTGACATCTGTCGAGTCGCCCTTAGTCCACAACCTCGATCGCCTTGCCGGCGACATGTCGGCTGTCTCACTCAGACACAACCTACCGGTGAAACAGAAATCATCCCAAGATGGCAGATTGGCGTTAGGGTTATTCACTGATGTCCCAGGTTTTTTGTTGTATTCACAAACTGCCAGCCTTGGGGGGTCACCTGTGGCAGGCGAGGGCTAAACCCCTCACCCTCGGGCAAAAACCAGGGAAGGCATACGTTTTGGGTTTAAGGGGTTTAAGGGCTTCAAAGCTGAGGAGTGCTCAACGCTTCTTAGGTTGTTGGTGCTCTGGATCACGCATTGCTATGGTTCTACACTGAACCCGGCACCTTAACATCAAGATTTCGTCTCGCGGTTTCCCAAACAAAGGGTGTTTATCTTGGAGGTCCCGTATCATGTCAGGACGTACCCATATGTCTACATGGGAGAAATGAAAGAAACCTGAACCCAAAACCGCTTGGGCTCTGCCCCGATACCTTGAGCCCTTCTTGCTGGCGTGCTTAAGCCCTAGGAACTCCCTCATGGAAAAACGGCTTCTGCAACTCCCGGCAGGACTGCCTTGTCACGGGTCAGCTCCTTGCGGGGCCACCCACACAGGAAGAACGTCAAAAACAGTTCTCGTGTTTAGGTGTTAGGCTTAGAGGGTGCAGGGCCTCTGGGCGTAAGAGGTTTGGGGCTTGTAGGGTTTATGGTTGAGGTTCCGGCCCTTTTGGAGGGCTGCAGTGATCAAAGGGCTGTTGTTCCCCCGCTGCGCCTACGACGAAGATACAACGTAGTCAAGACATACATGAGCCTGGAGAGAATCATCCCTCAACTCTTCGACTCAAAGCCAAGCCCAAGAAAGATCCTGAAACGCTCCCTGAGCCACGCTTCGAAGCTGGAGCTGGAAAAGTCTAGTCTAAAGCCACTATCTGCAGGAATCGGATCACTCCCAAACGCTCAAACCGTCCCTAAACCCCAAACCCCAAACCCCAAACTCGAAACCCCAAACCCTAAACGCTACAGTCCCTACAGTGCCTCTCCACGCCAAACCCGAAGCCTCCCCCACCCCTTCCTTGAGCTCGTGGTTCGTGATGTCCAACTCCTCCTTCTGCTCCGTCAGCTGGATCTCCTGTAACGGGCAAATCAACGACCTTCAGGTTTAGGGCTTAGGGTTTAGGGTTGAGGGTTTAGGGTTTCGGGTTTGGGGTTTAGGGTTCACGTTGGGATGTTCCCTCTTATGCTAACAGTCCTCAGAAAGAGTTCGTAATCGGGGGCACTATAATCCCTATAAAGGACTGTTAGTATAAGGGGAAACATGCCAAGGTTTACGGTTGAGCCCAACAGCCCCTGAACCTCTCCTCCCTCCCCCCCCCCCCTCCCAACAAAAAAGAGACAGAGGAAGCGGCAGACCGCTGGCGAACGGTGAACAAGATCTAAGTCCAACCCAGAACCTTGAAGCCCCAGCCCAAAATACTAAAACAACCCTAAACCCTAAAGTCCTATTTTTGCAGCCAGGCCTCTGCGAAAACTGCCGAGTAAGAGCACACATTATCTTGAAGATCTTGGAAACCCTCAACCCTGAACCGCCAACACTCCTAAACCCCTAAACCCTCAGCCCTAAACCTGTAGACGACCCTTTTAAGTTCAGCCTTTTCGCCCAGAGTACCGGAAGCGCTTGGCAGTCCTAACCAGAAAACCTGCAGACAAGGCGTTCCCAGTCCAGCGAGTTGATCTTGTAGATCAGCTCCTCCTGCAGGGCCTGGGCAGCTGTGGCAGTGGAGACCCTCCTTGAAGGCTCTTCTTAGAGACCCTTCTGGAAAAAAATAATACCTAAACCCTAAAACCCATGGTGTATTTGCTCAGGGCACGGAGCTAGTAATTGAGCCCAAGGTTTCGGGTTTCATCACAGCTCGGACGAAGCAGGCGAGGTAGAACATTTCGGGCTGTCAGTTTGGCTCGTGCGATCACTGTGTCTCACCTTCGGCCAAGAAGTTCGTTGCTCAAACTGGGTTCGGGCAACACACAGGAAGCCTAAAACTGGGATACCGCCTCCATGCGCCCCAACATGATATACTCTCCCTAGTTCTTGGAGCCTCCACATCCGACGCAGCCCTAAACCCTTGGATCGAAGGGGCGCACCTTGTACTGACGGGCCATGTCCGCCGTCACCGCATAGGTGGTGTTCTGCTCCTACGAGGAGTGGCGCCGGCTTAAGAAGCCCAAGGCTCAGTCATGCACATTATATGATAGAATACATATGTAGAAGATATACATATATATATATATATAAATCTGTGTGTGTGAAATCAATAAGGCATTAGAAGAACCATAATGACATTTTAGCCGATTAACATGATTGCATATTACTGAAGCTGTATGTTTACATAATGTTGTTATTGTATGAGAAAATTCAGAATGCTACATTAACATACTTAATGAGCTAGTATGTTCACTGTGAACGTGTTGGTATGTTTAACAATAGCGGATTAACCACATGCAGTTTGGTATACTGTCGATGATGCGACATGAAACTTGACATGCATATGAAGAAAAAAAAAATATATATATATATATACTTATACACTTATATTTACATAATATGTACATATATTGGCCACTGGCCGATCCTGCTTGAAGTCCTCCTCCATCCTCAGCGACACAAGAATTGTCACTTTTTTGGAGTCTTACCGACATGATACTGTAGAGGCGGGTCAGGCAGATACACTGCGACAAGTCAGCCAGACAACAGAAGAATCCGGGCTCCGAGCTGTTCGACCTGAGACGCAGGGTCAATTCCAAGCAGCTGGATTGCCCTGCAGTCGGACTAAGACCGTGCATGCAACATGACAGCAGCGATTTTCTTCTGGACGCTTTGCATTGGTAGCCCAACGTCGGATGCAGTCTGAAGAGCCCTCGAGAAGAGCAAGTCTCCTTGGAATATTGCGCCCGAGCGGTTTGTCAGCCTACGGGGCAGTGGCTGCCTGAGATTTCCAGCAGGCAGACACCTCACCGAGCGTCACTGCCCGCTACGGGGACATGCCAAGGGTGCCTCGCATTAAAAGAGAACTCAGCTGAGACTGCCTCGCATTGAATAGTGGACCAAGCCGGCCCATGGTTCTGCTTCAATGTGGCGCAGATGCCGCAGGTGGCTTCCCAGGGCCCACAAAGCTTAGCAAGAGAATGAGCCCCAGTGCCTAAAGAGGGGACTGTCTTCACACGACTTGGACCCCCCAACGGCTTTTCCAGTTTGGGGTGTAAGGCTCGGACGTCGGATCGAGTGAAGACAGCCGCGAAAATTGCTGGAAAATCCCGCCCTACATCTCTACATGAGATCGAGACATGCCGCGAGTGCTTCTCTACAGATATGAACTTCAAGCGCTAGTCGATTCCCTAGCTCACACGGAGCAGCCATCGCTTTTGTGGTGTGAACAGCTTCGTATGCCCCTGCTACATCGCCAGATCCTGAACCCCAACTCGACACTCATGCTCTAAGAGTTCACTTTACAAGCCCCAAAAACCGAAGGGAGCTGGTAGAGGTACCCTTGCAACTAATCGGGGAACTTATGCTATTGGTGGGAAGGGAACCCTTTTTTGACTCGCCCCTACACGCATGTTCTTAAAGTTGCTACCTCCCGGCTGCAGGCTGCCGCTTCTTGTCGCAGTCATCGCCGAAGGCGATCTTGCCATCCTCCCCAGGTTTTTTTCCCACCCGTTTCGCAAGCGTTTACGGGGAAGAGGTCAGCCTCCCCAGGTTTTGGGGTTTAAGGTTAGGGTTTAGGGTCTGGGGTCCCCCCGGGCCTTGCGGCAGATACGCAGGAAGCCGAAGACGCCGCAGCCAGTGGTGTCATCCTAGAGGAGAGGCTTTAGGGTTTAGGGTTTAGGGTTTAGGGTTTAGGGTTTAGGGTTTAGGGTTTAGGGTTTAGGGTTTAGGGTTTAGGGTTTAGGGTTTAGGGTTTAGGGTTTAGGAGGCACCGGGGCTGAAAGGTGCTTCAATGGCTCCCAGCGTATTTGGCTAAACCCTCAACCCATCCCTCGAAAGACACCAGCCACGCCGAGTGGAATCTGCCAGCAAGGTTCCGTTTGCCCTGCGGCAAAGGAGATCAGGTTGGCAACAGTTCCAATGCTTCATCCAATCACCTGGGGGCCGCTGTTGGTATTCGGAGCATCCTAAAAGGGATCACGATAAGGATTCCAAACCCCAATTCGGGTAACCTACCTGCCAGGAGAGCTGGCGCTTGCGCAGCTGAGGGCTGTAGGGTTTATATAGGGGTTTAGGGTTTATAGTTGTGTGTTTTGTGGTACTTTTGGCTGGGGCTTAGGGGTGCCGTAACGCCTACTGCAGTCCTGTCGCCACAAAGGTGGAAGCTCCCCACAGATTGGCCAAGGTTCCGACTTGGGTGAGGCAGATAAGGGCACTAAAACCGTACAAAACCCAACTCTATCTCATTCTGAGAAGGTGCGTGTTGGCTGAGCACCCGCTTTGTTCGTGCCGCTTGTTCATTCGCCTTTTGCTTGCCACGTCTGTCTTCTTCGCGCGCGGCCTTCGTAAAGACCTCAGAGCCGCTGTGTTGACGAGCCTTCAAGTTGCGCATGTTCTTCAAGTTGACCTCAGGCATGCCTGAGCTCCTCCACCTGGGGGAGATGCGTAGGGGTTGTGCGGGTCTTCAAATCTGGCTCTTGCTCCTCGTTCTCGTGAGGCTTCCTGCGTCGGATTCCACTTCCTTAACGCGTCAGGAGGAGGTTCGCGCGCGCCCAAACAGTACAGAATGCTGAAACCGGTGGGACCCCTGCCGAGTGATGCATACCGCGGGCTATACACACCAATCTTTGTCAAAAGTCACGAAGTTTTTTCCGGTCTCGCTGCGCCGGCCACGCTTCGAGCCCTTCAAAACAGCCACTTTGCATCATGCGTGAGATCGCAATAGTCAATAGTGCGAAGGATCGCATCCCACAAGGCCGGTTCTTGCTGTACGATAACGACGCAGAGCCTCCAGGATGGTTTTTGACCCAGGCTTCCGCAACAAGCACCGATGCTCTGGCCACTC